AATTTTGCAAGATCGCAGGACATTACGAGTTAGCATTTGTGCTAACAATGGAATCTTTGCACGCATCCTCAATGACAGCAACTACCATCCCTTTCAGTGCTGTTTTTAAAGGTGTTTTCACACGTGTCCCAAATACTTGAGTCTGCACCCAGGACTGAGTTTGGGCTCGTTTGGGGGAGGGGTTCATTATCGAACCGTGGATCGATCACGCTCTTCCATACGTCACGTTTCTTCATGCAGGCTTGCAAAATGGTCGGCGCTAGCTTCATCCATTTGCTGCTTTTTATCATTTTCCTTGGATAGAAACTCAAGTGGGACAATTGAGAGTTTTTATGAGTGGTGCCCATTTGAGCTTGAATGCCTTCTTTGGTCCATATATCTATGAGGCATTCCGTCTCCTCCACTGTCCACAACAATCCTTTCCCCACCATCATGAAAGTTGGAAAGGGAAGGGATGCAATAAGTCGAAGGGAGTTTGTGCCAGATGGCTGACCTCCAAGTGCTCTTCCAACAAACTTCACTTGATAATACAATAAGGGAACGGCCTGAAAAGTGGCGCTGGGGATTTGACCAGGGCAAGCTGACGAGGGTATGTTATGTACAGGCATAAGAAGTCTATAAGAACAACACACAGCACTTCAACCATGAATAAACTTCTGCTCTTATATAATTGGTGGTTTGCAGAGCTACATTGGTCCCGTGTGACATAAACATTCTGACAGACTGTATCTTGGGGAAAAAAAAGAAAGCAATGTAAACCAAGCAGCCCCCCTCCAACAACTATCACCACTCTCCTTCTCTCCATCTCATTCTCTCAGTCACTTCTAATTACACTCATCTTCCTGCTCTGTCGCTCCCTCTCCTCCCCTCCTCACACTTCTTCATCCTCCTATAATCTCTTTTCCGCTCTTCTCGCTCGTTTTCCCCACATGTCGTTTGATCGGCATCTTCATTACCTGTCAAAACACGCCTCTCAGAGTCCCACTGCAAGGTGAGTGCTGTATCACTGGGTCAGTGTTGATGTCGAAATGTCAGAAACGTGGAGTAAAAGATCGTTAAATATTACAAAGCAGCCCCTGAAAAAATCTATAATTTAATACGTGGATCATCTGAAGTCAGTTTGGCCGGATGAAAAAGATGTGAAAGTGGACGAGTATGTGGAGCGTGAGATTTGAGAGTGGAGGCACTATGGAGGCTTAAAACCGAAGGAACTGTGTTCATGTAATATATATACTCATATTTGCATATATATATATATATACATACATACACACACAAAGAAAAAGTTTAGTCTTCGAAGTTGGTTTTACATTTTCTGCTTCTCATAATCCAAATAATCCAAAACACATTCAGTAATATTCCAAAATCTTACATGCAATTAGAAAACTACAGTTATTATATAATAAGATTTTTTTTGTGACAATTATTGTAGATATTTAACATGTTTTATATTAATTATTATATATCAATATATTATGATAGCATAATGGAATGAGCATTATTATTATAATGACTACAACTGTCAGTAATGAAAATAACATTATTATAATAAATAACTTTATTATTTTTAAAAACAATAATAGATAATAATAGGAAGACATTTTGAACATAAACAAAAAACATTGTTTTACTAAAATTCACTGTTTTACCGTTTAGTTTACTGTTATCATTGTTATTATTAAATTATTACAATTATTATTTTGTTATAAAATAATATTATTTGTTTTTTTGGTATTGTTTTATTTCATTATTTGTTTATAAATAATATTAATAGTTTATTATCATTGCTGTTGGTTTGTTTTTTATTGTTTTGTTGTTTTCTGTTGTTGTTATTAACTATTATTAGCATTAGTATTAGTAATTATTGTTGTTATTGAATGTTATTAACATTCAAAATTTCTGGTTTAGCCCATCTTTCCACTAAAGTTGCCAACTATTTTCTTATCTCGAAGTGATGTGATCAACAATTTCAAAGAAATAGCTTGTTTTACTGACATCTGTTGTCACACTGGCTCTACAGCGAGCAGATAGATAGATGGATGGATGGATGGATGGATGGATACATAGATAGATAGATCTTTATTTTCATTGTTTAAAAACATACAGTTAAATCTTACAGCTTTACATTGAGTGTGAACTCTGCTTATATCAGTCAGACTATCACACTTTATGAATATGATGTCATTTCCATCATTTCCCCTCATTACAGAGAAAATCTCACTCATCTACAAACACCACGTGAGCGCCTGCCAATTATGCGCCAGTATTTTTAGACGACAACGGCAAGAAAGAGAGCGAGAGAGGGAAGAGTGCACAAGTGTGGAGAGTCAGATACGCCGAGCCTGTTAGTGATGTGCTCTGCTTCTAATTATACATATGACTCAAGTGTATGTGTGTGTATGCTAATGTGCTTTAGCCTCATAGTCACAATGGTGCCACAGCAGTCACAATACAGTGAACTGACAGAGGTGAGTGCGCTGAAAAAATGTGTGTACAGTGTACAAGCATGTCCGTCACTGACCACATAGGCTTGTTGCTGACCAGACAACTCATGCTAGCCTGCCAAACAACAACAACAACAAAACAGCTCATGGAAGCTGACAGGGAGAAAAAGAAATGAAATTGTGGCGAGACGGAGAACAGCAAAGTCCAGGGAAGCAACGGTGAGCAAACAGGTGTGCTGGACATCGCAGGTGGGAAGAGGGAAGTTAATAGCCGGTGCTTGACGGTGCAAGAAGGGAATGAATAAGAGATTAAATGAAACTTTAATCTGCGCTAAGTAAATGAAGAGAATGTGAGCAAATAAATCCATCCAGTAGCCAGGATTGCTGTGGCGTAAATACTAGCAGATAATGTTGGATTAAAGCTCTAAATCAGCTATGCTATACTACGGCAGTGTAGTGGAGTGGGTAATGGGTTCTCTGTCCAGGCAAGCACCCCATTCCACACCAGTAAGATGTCTTGGGCAACACTCTTAACGTTACATTAAGTAATGTACAGTAATGAGGGACAAAGAGCAGCAGATCGAAGTGCCCAAGTGTGGTCAACACAGTATCAGATACCCGAGCTAATACCTTAAAATATGCTAACTCATCTGTGAAGACATCATCCAAATGTGTCAGTTACCACAGTGAGGAGAAAACGCAAAGCTAAAGTTAGCCAGCTTTTTCTTTGAATTTTCCGTTCCACCTTAAATGGAGCAGCAGTTACATGTTACTGCTGTGCCATTTAAGGTGGAATGGAAAATTTTAATAGGAAGCTGAAGAATAGGAAGATTTGCACCTCTATTCTGTTGTGGAGTCCACCACTATTTGGCTGTGGTACCACTTCTATTATGTTGTGAAGCCCACTGCTATTCGGTTGTGGAGTCCACCCCTATTCAGCTGTGGAGGTGACTTCTATTCAGAGTCCACCTCTATTTGATTGTAGACTCCACCTCTATTTGATTGTAGACTCCACCTCTATTTCATTGTAGACTCCACCTCTATTTGATTGTAGACTCCACCTCTATTTCATTGTAGACTCCACCTCTATTTGATTGTAGACTCCACCTCTATTTCATTGTAGACTCCACCTCTATTTGATTGTAGACTCCACCTCTATTTGATTGTAGACTCCACCTCTATTTCATTGTAGACTCCACCTCTATTCGGTTTTAAAGTCCACCGCTATGTTGTAGACTCCACCTCTTATCAGCTGTAGAGGCTACCTCTATTCGGTTGTAGAGTCCACCTGTATTCAATTGTGGAATTCATTTATATTCAGTTGTAGAGTCCACCTCTATTTGGTTGTAGATTCCACCTCTATTCAATTGTAGAGTCCACCTCTATTTGGATGTGGAGTCCACCTTTATTTGATGGTAGACTCCACCTCTATTTGATTGTAGAGTCCACCTTTATTTGGATATAGAGTCCACCTTTATTTGATGGTAGACTCCACCTCTATTTGATTGTAGAGTCCACCTCTATTTGATTGTAGAGTCCATCTCTATTCGTTTTTTACTTTTATACAGATATTGCACATTTGTTTCTTTTTTTCATTTATTGTATGTCTTACAACAAAATGACTTTGAAAAATACAAAAAAATGTTTTGGGAATTACAAAAAGTGAACAAATACAAATGTAAATGTAAATGTTGAAATGATCTGTCTTTTCTAATTCTGTATCAAAAACGTATCATATGGTGAGACTAATACGACAATATTTATCATATATTGAAATTTGCGTATCATTACACCCCTACTGTATATGCACAGAAAATGTGCGTCTTTAAAATGCAAATACATATTTTACAGACATTTTAACATTCTTATAATTTGCGCAAACATGACCAAAAAGGTCAAATCTGGCAATACAAATAAACAATAACATTTCTGCTATCGCTGCAGTGTTCCTGCATATACATATTTATTTATTTAGATGAATAATCTAAATAAATAAATAAATAATGCAGAGTAAAACTTTAAGTCTTAAAAAACCAACACCAGAACCTAAATTGTCAGAATAAAAATACTGATTATTATTAAAAATTATTTCGAACTTGAACTTGAATTTGAATTCATGTTTATTTTCTATTTTAATTCATGTTTTTAAATTATTCAAATGTTTATGCCTTTTTAGCTCTCAGTTGCTGCCATATCCCATAGTCCTGTGCAGTTTGGCTCAGCCTCAATTTGCTGTTATTACAGAAATATCTTAAAATGAGCTGATTTCAAAATAAGATCATGAATACAGTTTTTTACTGTGAAAGATAAGTTAACTATTATGAAATCATAGTTGTCTTGTATTTATATTGTGTTGACACCTATAATGCTCAGTTAGTCCGCTTTGCCTCTCTGGTTACTAACAATTATACTTATTTTCTTGACCAAAAAATCAAACGACCACCAAACTGGCTCTACAGTACACTAACACTGATTCACACTTTAACAGTGGATGGACAGAATATAGATAAAAGAAATAAAGCCCAGCCTGAGAAGCACAAGAAAGTCAATTCTTACCTGCTTGATAGCCCGAGCGTGAAAGTTCTCATAAACAGCTGGAATTCCGTGCCAGACGGACTGGGACTAACAGGTGGGAAGGAGGGAAGTGGGATGAGGGAGAGATGAGTGAGTCAGTGAGAGAAAGAGAGAGAGAGAGAGAGAGAGAGAGAGAGAGAGAGAGAGAGAGAGAGCTGTGGACGCTTCTACGCAGTCTTCATCCAGCTTCAGCATCTATAATTTAGGTGAAGCTGAACAGGGAGAGACGTTAGAGATAATGTGGGGAGAAATAAATGGACAGAAGAAATTAAAAGTGAAAAGAGGGGGAGGAGCAAAAGGAAAAAAGAAAGAGGTGGAGAGAAATTCCTTGAGAGTGTGTGATGCGTCTGATGTTATGCGAGCGACTATCTCTCTCTCTTTTCCCTCTTCTCTCTCTCTCTCTCTCTCTCTCTCTTTTTCTTTTTCTCCCTCCCCCTTTGCTCTCTCACCCACTGCAGCATTGTGAGACTAACACGCCTGTGCGCTGTCTTTGGACTCCACTCTCAACACGCGCTGCCGGGGGTAGTTTAACAGTGGCATGTTAAAGGGACAGTTTGGTGGCAAATCAAATGCATCACATATCACCCAACCATCTTACCTCAAACATCAGGCCAAGACATGATTTGTGTGTGAAGTTTCCTTCTTTAGTTTTAGCGCAGGAGCTACGAGGCTAATTTACAGTACTGTGCGGAAAACAGAGACCACCCTTTATTTATTTCATTTCCAGTCAAAACGGCAAAATGGCCATTTAATACAAGTCATTCAAAACAGAGAACTGCACAGAGGCCTCAACAACTAAATATGATATCACTTTTTTTCAGAATTTAGTGAGTCACTCTGTACCTTCATTCCAGCTTCCTCTCTTTTCAAGAGACTCACTTCCAGCTTCTCAAAGAATCTGCAGACACGCCGCCAGAGTTCAGTCTTAGAAGCTGGTTGATCTTTTTCTGAAGTAATCAAACACATTCAGTGGTGTTGAGGTCTGGACTCTGGGGTGGTCAGTCCATTGTTCAGCTTTGTTTGATGTGTCTGTCTCCTTTTCTCAGTGAGGTTCTTCTCGACAGCTACACATCCTTTCAGACCCACAGTGCTGAGTCGTCTTCTCACAGTGGAAGGATGGACAGAAACACCTGTGGATGTTTTCAGATCTGAAGCAGCTTGATTTTCTCCTCTCTCTCAGAGATGAAAGCTTTAAGTGCTGTTTATCTGATGGGGGCAGTTTTGGTGGTCTGGGTCTTGCAGGTGGTTGTTAGGAGTCTGATTTTCTATTCAAGCTGGATTAATTTTATCGGAGAAGGTCCTATAATGTAACTTGTGCATGATTTGACTGGCCAATTTGTACAGGAATCTGTGCAATTTTCTCAAAATGACCCCAAACAGCCTGCATCAAGACATCTTTAGATGGACACTCGCGTCAGCATTACATGTGAGGCGGCACACTTCTGAACAGTACCCACACACTGTGCGGCTAAATGGCAAATATGGTGCCAAAAAACCCAAAACACGGCCCTGGACGAGGGAGGAGACTTTAAATCTCATTTCAGTGCAGAGTAATGCCCTCTATAACTGCCAATTCAAAATGATGTTCCATAATCATAGCATACAGGAGGAAATGTACATTGAATTGTTGTGGATTTTGGTAGTCTTGTCATGAACTTGAAGATTAAGGAATTAAAGGTTAAACCAATTCCATTTAGCTGTTAGCCTCGTCTTCAGATTAAAAAAAAAGAAAAAAATCGAGGCGCCATTTTCTGTTACCTAGTTCTGCTAATTTATTACTGTGATGGTGATTTGAGCAGGACTGTTATTACTGAGGGAGCTCTGAGCTCAGCGAATTACAGAAGATAATACACTCTGGAATTATTACTTAGCAGACTTTGCAGTTTTCAGACTGGATTAAATCCACAGATCCCATCTGTAATCACTCAGATGACAGAAGCTCCCCAGATAAAACTAATCCAGCTCCACTATGGCTTAACTTGTACATAATGGTGGTCTCTGACTTTGCACAGTGCCATAGTTAACAAGTAACAGAAGCTTTGTCTCAAATCTCAAACAGACTTGTTTATGTTGTATACGACACTGTATGACATGCTATTATCAATAAAAATGACCAGAAGTACTTAATATAGCTAAGAACAGTAGTAGCAGCCATCGTGAAGCCTAACTTGAGCTGATACTCATTTTACACATAGCGATTTAATGAAATAAAACTGTCAACATCCTTTTGTGAGTTTATCACATTCAGTATCAGTTAACAAACTCCTCATGAACTCACTGTTTTCCAGCTAAAAGCTATAATGTGAAATAAGTTATGATGTGACGAGGCTAACATTACCTGAGGTAACAGACGATTAGCATTTCGCTGTTGTCGGAAAAAAACCTCGTATCTCCAAAATGGTAACTTTACAGGAGAAGGAAAAAACCTACTTTACTTTTGATGTAAGTCAATGGAACCAGACTTTTTTCCGAGTCATTTTGGGCCGTTTCTTTTGGTCCATTCATCATGAAATTTCCACACAATGTAAAGGGTAACAAGTATTTTCAAACTTTGTCCAAAACTGAAAAACGTCAAAAATGGAGATACAAGATTTTCTTCCGACATTAGCGATTTGTCTGTTGTCTTGAAGACTTTAGATTGACCTTCCCTTCTCGGTGATAATTTCAAGCCAGGTCATCTACTATCGTCATCTACTAACTACTATTTTCGTGGTCTCATTTTAGGTTTAATTCAAAGGGGAATTCAAGCCTAAAACTACTAGCATTTAACGTTATTTGTTGTGTTATGTAAAACTCTGTTCACCATTGTTTCCCTCAGTCTTGTGGATTTGACAGAATTTATGATTTTGCATCCTTTTTGTGTTTTTCCGTTTATCAGTGTTCTCTCACTACAATACCCAGCATGCTTTACCCAAATACAGCATTTACACTGGGAATCCTCCTCTCACAGTGATAAAGGAATCCTGCTAGCGCTGCCACTGATGTAGAGGCTAATAAATTCAGATGTGATATTTGGCTTCCTGGCAGTAACCATAACCGTCTTGCTTCCTTCGACATTAGCCAGCTGGAGGATAACAAACACATCTCAAACAGCTTGCGCCCAAATATCCATCCAGAGGCAGTTGTAGTTTTTCACCTTCTCACCTTCAAGGTGCATCATCAGAAGAGGATTTTCTTAGTCTTCGAACCATAAAATCTCGCTTTAGAGGTCACTGAGGCACCACTGAAGGATGTGAGCGGGCATGTTTACAACAGATGTAGCGATGGTTAAATGCATGCAGTTTGGCCAATGCTAATTAGCGTACATACGTTTCCATTACTTGTTAGCCTTGTGGCTCCAGCACAAACTTAAAAACTAAAGAAAGTGTCTTGGCTGATCAATGGCATTTGGGGTAAGGGAGAGATTGTGCGAATTCGATTTTTTCCCAAACTATCACTTTAATCTCTCTCTTTCTTCCTCTCTCTCTCTCTCTCTCTCTCTCTCTCTCTCTCTCTCTCTCCCTCTCCCTCTATATCTCTCTATATAATTAGACAGTGACACTTCAGCCTGAGTGACAGACTCCTCCGTGCTGTTTCTCACAATTTTGGTCACGGCTTTTTCGAGATACTACGCCGTTCTTATCTTTCCCCTCTGTACACAGCGCACACGCTTTTGTTTCGCGTCTCTCTGAGCCATCAGACACCCACGCTCTCTCATTCTCTGAGCCTGGGGGGCCTTCCAGCGCTCTACCGCTGCCATGTTCGTAGCTGGTGTAGGGATTAGAATGCAACACGTTTCGGACTTTCGTTGGGCCACAAAGCGCATTCCTCCAGCAGCCCCTGCTGTGACAGATTGTGGTTGCTCTGGGTAAACAGGGGCTTTTGCAAGCTGGCCAGATGACCTGGCCTTCTGGTAGTGGCTGCACATGCATACTATTTTACAGCGCAATTGTGTGAGCTAACACACAACAGGCTTAAAGTACCTACAATTAATGTGTGTGTAGGTAATGCGTGCATTTTTCAGCAAAAACATATATTTAACAAAAATAATTACACAAAAGCCTCAACAACTGAATATAATATCAAATATATTGGTGTGTAGTGTGTCCACTCTTTACCTTTATTACAGCTTCCATTCTTTTCAGGACACTCACTTTCAGTTTCACAAAGAAATCTGTAGAGATATTTTTCCACACCTCCAAAGTTCAGTCTTAGAAGTTGGTTGCTTTTTCTGCTTCTCACAATCCAAGTAATCCCAAAATGGCTGAAATCTGGGGTGGTCAGTCCATTGTTTTGAGAACAGCGGCTACTTTTTTGTTTGATTTCTTCTTTTGTGTCTATTTCCTTGTCTCAGTAAGGACTTTTTCACAGCTGAGTTGATGAAAGCTTTAAGTGCTGTTTATCTGATGGGGACAGTTTTTGGTTAGGAATCCAATTATTTTCTCTGTAGCTTTAATATTTTATATATATATAATATAATATGTATAATATAACTCCACCTGTCACTTATTTTTACTTTGACTTTTCTTCTCCTTACGCAAGTGGATTATCATATATTTAATATATAACTTGAAACTTACTAAGTGGCTATTTTGACTGGAAATTAAATAAATGAAGGGTGGTCTCTGAGTTTTCTGGGCAGTTTTACTCTTACCTCAAATATAGCTGATCAGCCAAGACATGTTTGGTGTCTGACGTTTGCTACTTTAGTTTTTCACTGGAGCTATGTGAGGCTAATGGAGCTAACAAGTAATATAAACACAAAACGTTTGCCTCAAAACATTGCTTACGTGATTCTGAGGACTGTATCATATACTGTCATCTATGAACATGAACGAAATAACAAACCAAATTCTGTCCTGATGGCTGATAGTACTGTTTTTAGCACAAGGCTAATTGCTGAGGTAGCTTCTATTACTTGTTAGCTAGCTACATTAGCCTGATTTGAGGTAAGGTGGTTCGAGAAACCACATACTCAAGTCTACTATAGATTAATTAACAATTTAGGGTAAGTGTATGATGTGTTAGATGATTTAGCGAGTGCACAATTCATTACTCGTTAGTTACATTAGCCTCATATCTCCAGTGCAAATCTTCATGATG